CATACAGCCATTGCAATATGTATGTGCATTTAAAATGAAAATTTTAGCACAAAAAACGAAATGTTATTTCATATGCAATTTCCCATAAAAATGAACGAAAATCATAAATGGAAACTTGACGGTACGAGTCGATGATAGAATGTGTGTGTTTGCATAGGACTTCCATTTCCGCAACAGTTATTTTATGGAAATTATAGCATAAATGCACGATGGATGTTGAGTGGTTCGTTCAATTTAGTATATGTTTTTATTCCCTCCACCATAGAATGGAGTAACACCTTGAAATATACATTTTAGACCCCAAAAAGTATGTATATTCTTGATCAGCATAAAAGTCTACAGGGTGAGATGAAAAAACCTGCAACCAACTTAAGACTGCTGTCATTTCCAAGCCACTAGTCCGAAAGCTGCTAAAATTATTCCAGTGATAGCTCATTATATTGTTTAAAAGCGTAGAAAAGTATTTTGGTGAGAATTTTCCAGAAGAAAAGTTATACGTGATGAAATTCAAGCGTGATAGTGTGATTTCTTTATATTTGGTTGGAAAACCGCAAACGACTATCATTAGAGCACTCCTGCATTTAAATGTGAATAAATCTTTTGTGTCTAGTACCATTCCTATTAACCGTTATACTGGTAGCGTAGCCCGACGTCAAGGAAGTGGACGAAAAAAAACAGCAACATCAGTAGAAATGGTTCGAAAAGTAAAAAAGCAACTTGATCGAAACCCGCGTCGCAATGGCCGAAGAAGGGCCCGTGAGCTGAACATATCGCAATATTCCATTCGGCAAATATTGAAAAATGAGCTCGGGGTAAAGTCATTGAAATTCTAAAAAGTGCAAGAACTTACACCGCAACAAAAAGAAAATATACTCAAAAGAGCTAAAGAGTTGCTTAGCTTGGCCGAAAGTGGTGAACTGCCGAATTTGGTTTTCTGCGATGAGAAAACATTCGTTGTCTAGCAGTTTGTAAACAAACAAAATGATCGTGTTTACTTGTCAAAGAGGTCAGCTGAAAATGTGGACCTTCAGTTTGTCACCAGAATTCAAGAGCCGCCATAACAGCCGATAATCGTTCTCCGCTCGTATTAATCGACCATGGCAACAGAATAAATACCAAATATTATCGCGAAAATATTCTGGAGGGTGTATTTAAGCCTTGGGCACGCAAACATTTTGGCCGCAGACCTTAGATATTTCAACAGGACTCGGCACTATCGCACTCAGCACGCGCTACCCAAGAATTATTACAAAATGAGGTTCCTCGATTCATTTCCAGCTCACAATGGCCACCATAATCTACGGATATCAATCCGTTGGACTGTGTCTGGAGTATTTTGGAAAGCAAGGTTGGCACTAAAAAATACCAAAGTGTCAATCACCTCAAGCAGGCGCTTCTCCGAGATTGGGCCAAAATTCCCCAAAACAACACTGGGCAGCTTGTGACGGTTTCATCGGCCATTCGTGCCAAAGGTGACCAATTCGAATAAATCTATATTTTTTCTAAAATGTGATGCTATTTCCGACATTTTTTGCTTTTATTCAATAATATTTAAAAACAAGCAAAAACAAAAAAAAAAAAAAAAAAAAAAACATTTAATTCGGCCGGGCCAAACTTTTAATACCCTCCACCTTTGGGTAAAGGAAACACGATCATCAAAATACCTAATATCGGGAGGTACTGTTATATGGGGGTTATCGCAAATCGTGGACCTATATATACGATGTTTCGCCACTGGAGCTAGAACCCCTTATGACCAACAAATACCAAGTTTCAGACAAATCCGTAAAAAATGTGGCAAAAATCATCAAAATACCGAATATCGGGAGGAAAGTTATTTGGGGACTATGCCAAAACGTTGACTAATTTGTCTCTTTTCAATACCAACTATTCTAGATACAGGGTTGCCCATATTCGACGGACCCATCTGGTAACGCCATAACTTTTGACAGAGATGTCACATCGCTTAATGACATACCGCGTTTGAAGCGTCAGTCCAAGCAGATTTTTATCATGAACCAACACACGCCACGCGAGCTCTTTGAAATATTTAAAATTTACATTCAACAGAAGAAGTCAATTGTGAAAACTCAACGTGCTTTTAAAACATTAAAAAATGTGAGAAGTGTGCCTTCTAAGAACACCATTAAGCGTTTATACGAAAAATTTTCGACTGGTAAGGCTCTTTCTAATCCGAAGAGGCCATATAAATGTCGACCAAGGCGATCGGCCGAGAATATCGCTGCCGTACAAGCCAGTGTTGAGAGGTCCCCAATAACATCCCAAAAACTCCGTTCTCAGCAGTTGGGCATGGCTCGGTCCACTTTACAACGGGTTATTCGCATTGATTTGCATTTTTTCCCGTACAAAATTCAATAGACGCAAAGAATGTTGCCTGCGGACAAGCCTCGTCGATTGGAATGAAAAAAAAAAAACATGGGCCCGTGGAATATGGGCAACCGTGTACAATACAATTTTTTCTGCCAATTTTAGACGCTCTACGTCAAATAATATGAGCTGTATCTTGATTTTAACAGACAGCAGACAGTCGGACATCGTTAAATCGATTTAGAATTTTATTCTGATTATGAATATATATATTCTGTATATATATATATATATATATATATATATATATATATATATATATATATATATATATATATATATATATATATATATATATATATATATATATATATATATATATATATATATATATATTTGTGGGGCTACGACGAATATTTATTGATGTTACATACGGAAGGACAAAAATCCTTTCCAAGGTGGAGGGTCTAAAATGCTTATTTCCAGGAGTTACAAAAGCAATGACAATTTGTGAAGGGTATACAAATTATCAAAACATAAATAAATAAAGGAATACAAAACAAAATAGATAATAAATAAATTTAAAAAAAAAAAAAAAAATTAGCACCCAACTCTTGTTCAATTCACCTCGATTGAACAACATTAACATCTCGTTATCCCAAGATTCTTTGTATAATAGCGATATTACCATAACTTAATATTCGACAAAAATGTGCACAAATCCCTCTAACGCACACCAGGAATCCAATACCATCACCGTTGTCATCTTTGATATGAATAAAATTAAATGCATTTCTACAACAACAAATTACAACAAATGTATGCATTTTGTGTAAAGGCATATATTCTATACTGCTATAAAATTCAATTTGTTGGTCTGTATGCATGTGTGTGTATGTAATGGACGAAGCCTAATTTAAATAAAATGCAAATGCTAGTGTAATATTTTTTTCTTTATTTTCCATGAAAATGCATTCAATTTATTTCGACATAATAACTTTGTCCAGGCAAAAAGGCAGAAAACAACGGAAATGAAACTGAATTATAAATACTCCACCACACAACCACCTGCATAAAGATAAGTTTAATATTTGGAGCCGATGGCACTGTTCCATATTCATTTTGATTTGTTACTAAAAGTTTTTTCTTTCACAATTTGTATACCCTCCACCATAGTATGGAGGATATATTAAGTTTGTCATTCCGTTTGTAACACCTCGAAATATACATTTTAGACCCCACAAAGTATATATATTCTTGATCAGCATAAAATTCTATGTCGATTTATCCGTCCGTCTGTGGAAATCACTCTAGCTTCCGAACGAAATGAATTAGGTTGATAAAATTTTACACAAATGTATACTATGTCTGCAGTACTTTTGGTATTGAAAATGGGTCATGTAGGTCTTCGTCTTCGTATAGCCCTCATATAACGGTACCTCCCGATATGCGGTATTTTGATGATTTTAGCGACTTTATTTACCGGAATTGTTTCAATTTTGGTATTTGAAGCTCGTAATGGATACTACATCCTAATACAGAAAAAGAGCCATGTAGGTCCACGTCTTCGTATAGTCCCCATATAACGGTACCCCCCGATATTCTGTATTTTGATGATTTTAGCGACATTATTTACCGCAACTATTTAAAATTTGGTATTTGAATTTCGTTATGAATACTATAGCCTATGACAGAAAATTGTCTGAGCAGGTCCACGTCTTCGTATAGCCCGCATATAACAGTACCTCCCGATATTCGGTATTTTGATGATTTTAGCGAACTCATTAACCGCAATTGTTTCAAATTTTGTATTTGAAGTTCGTAATGGATGCTACCGCCTATGACAGAAAATTGTCTGTGCAAGTCCACGCCTTCGTATAGGCTCCATATAATGGTACCCCCCGATATTCGGAATTTTGATGATTTTAGTGAACTCATTCACCGGAATTGTTTCAAATTTTGTATTTGAAGTTCTTAATGGATGCTACAGCCTATGTCAGAAAATTGTCTGTTCAGTTCCACGCCTTCGTATAGGCTCCATATAATGGTACCCCCCGATATTTGGTATTTTTACGATTTTAGCGACATTATTTACGGGAATTGTTTCAAATTTCGGATTTAAAGTTCGTAATGAATACTACAGCCTATGACAGAAAATTGTCTGTGCAGATCAACATTTTTTAGCCACCATGGTACCTCCCTATATTCGGTATTTTGATGATTTTAGCTACATTATAAACAGATTTTCGCATTTGAATATTGTAATAGCTTGTGATAAAAGCTGTCTATGCAGGTCCACGTCGTAGTATAGACTCTAATATACGGCTACATTAGGTATCTTCAAGATTTTAACAGAATTTTTAAGGGGTTTTATTTTTTTGAAAATTGTTAAATTTGTACCAAATGGTGAAGGGTAATCAAAGTTCGGTCCGGTCGAACTTACAGCTTTTTTACTTGTTTTTTTTTTTAGGTTTTCTTTTGTTGGACTTTTGCTTAGATGTTTGTTTTGGGAAAAGTTTTCATGTTTTTTTTTGTTTCGTATGACTTTGTTTTGTTTGTGTTCCCATTTTTGTTTGTGGCATAGGTTGGCAGATTCGATTTGTAACGTTTGTGGACAAATGATATGGATGGATTTTGGTTTGATTGTGTTCGCTTCAGCTTTGGTTGCTTACCGGTGGGGTTTCGAACAACATGACTTCCGTGCCTTTAAGTATTAAAAATCGAGGTTTATAACTTTGCCATGAGATGTTGTTGTTGATGACACCCTCATTCACCCAGCCCATGTATTCAATCCGTTCACCAACGGCAAAATTTCGATTATAAAGTTTCATCTAAAATGGAAAAAGGACAAAAAATTAATCATAATAATAATAGCAATGAAAGTATTTTATTTAGGTGAACTAATAATAACTTGTCTTGGAGGTTTTTAGTTCGCAATGATGAGAATGTTAAAAGGAGATTATTATATGAAAAATAGAAAGTTTTTTTTCACGGAAATCAAACAAAGTTACATGTGCTACTTTTCAGTTTTCTGTGTTTGATTTGATTGGTCCCATTTGATGATGTATTACACAATATATTTTCCTTAGAGTTACCAAATTAAAAACATAGATCGACTTTTTTGTAAGAAGTTTTTGCAAGGGCATCTAAGAAAATGCAACGTGACTCTTATAGAAAAGTACCTGAACACGGTGCGCTTTGCTACCCCTTTTGATTTAAAGTGCCTTCAAAATTTTATAAAGGAATATATGTTGGCTAAAAAAATTAAAAATAATGACAGGAACAGCCGACCATGAGAAAAGCAGGAACATGCAAAATTTTGTCCGCATATACGAAGGGTTTGTCCTTCGCATTTATTAATTTCATAGCACATGCCAAGCGTGCAGGTAACTGCAATTTTTAGAAGTTGAGTGGCATTTCTGTTGCAATTAGAGAATTCGTGATAGCAACATACTTCCCCGTAATAATCGTATCCTCAATTACATATATATATATATATATATATATATATATATATATATATATATATATATATATATATATATATATATATATATATATATATATATGTATATATATATATATATATATATATATATATATATATATATATATATATATATATATATATATATATATATATACATGAATTTGATGTAAAAGTAAATTTTGTCAAATTATATTGAAATCGGTTCAGATTGGGATACGATTTTATTAAGAAGCACAACAACTTTGTGAAGGAAGTACCAGAAGGAGTGGACCAATGTTTCCCATCTTTACAGCAGATTTTGAGTTAGTAGAAATAATGATATGCGTGAAATATGAAGAGAATCGGATGCTTATTTTGAATTTTAAAGTCATTTTGATTATTCAACACTTTGTCCTTTGTAAGGGAGATACCAGAAGGAATTGTCTGAACTCTACCGCTTTATAACAGAACTGTTCAGTGTACCATATCCAAATGGAATCAGATGTTAATTTCGCGTTTTATGAGCTTCATGGGTATTCAAAATTTTGACCTTTTTGTGGGAGACGTACCCGAAGGAGTGGAACGATGTATTCCATCTTAGCACCAGACCTTTGGTAAATAAAATATTTGTGATGTGAGAAATTTCAAGACCATCAAACTCTTACATCACATTTTATAATAGTTGTAATTATTGTAAATTTTGACCATTTTTGGGGGAGGTACTTGGTGGAGTGGACCGATATTGTCCATTTTCGCACCTGTCCTAGAACTGTCGCAAATATTAAGATTTACAAAGAAAAGGAGGTACCAGAAGGATTGGACCGATATTGGCCATCTCGGAACTCGATCTAAGTTTGACAATTATACCAAGTTTGGACAAAATCATATACTTCCTTCCAGCAGACAGACAGACAGGCAGACGGACATCGCTAGATCGTCTGAAAGGGATTTTGTCCAAAAAGACCTAGGGTCTTAGACCATTATTTCGATTAGACACGTTTCGACCGTATCAAATGATATATACCTTCTCTAGCCATATGTCTGAGGGTATAAAATTTGAATGTGTATCATACCAAAAAATGATATAATTACACAAACAAAAGTCTTATACAACATCATAGAGTTCAGTACACGAGTTCCTAAACGTATGAGTGATTTAATATATCCCACAGTCATACTCATACGTCCATGAAACTAGTTCGTTCGATCGAACTAGATTGGCACAACTTTATAGACAAGTATGAAAGTTTGAAATATGTATAATTCGTTTCTAAAAATTGCCAAATGAAGCATACAAAGTTGCGGGCACTTTCAAGTAAATAGTGGGGTTGGTCAACTAATCATCTGATATGCCGAAAATTCTTGCATAATCTGTATCTAAAAAAGAGGAAAATTTTTGTATGTTTGTTTGTAATTTATGGAATCGAAAACCGCTGAAAAAATTTTCTTGAAAATTTCCAAGTATACTAGAACATCGCCTGAAAGTAACATAGGCTATAACATTTTTAAAATTCCACTTCGAACTGGAGATATGGCATCAGAATCAGAGGTACCTCCCAAAAATGTAGATTTTATATGCACATATCTATTGATCCATTACAGGTACACCCTTCAAATTTGGAATGCGTTACGGAATTTGGAACAAAAATAATTTTGCCTAATTATTTTGAAACCGGTTCAGATTTAGATATAGCTACCATAAGTAAACACGCTGTGTACGCCACATTTCAATGAAATTTGGAATGTGGGATGGAATTTGTACAAAAAATTTGTTTGCCAAATTATATTAAAACCGGTTAAGATTTGGAGTTCCCATATGTATTTGATGCACCACGCACGATATGTATGTTCGATTCCAATGAAATTTGGAATGAGTGACGGGATTTGATCAGAAAATAAAGTTCTTAAATTATATTAAAATCGGTTCAGATTTGGATATAGTTCCCGTATACATATTCGGTCGATTTCATATATTTGATGCACCAAACACGCTATGTATCTCTAATTTCAATGACATTTTGAATTTGTAATGGAATTTAAAACAAACATACATTTGCCAAATTATATTGAAATCGGTTCAGATTTGGATATATCTCCCATATATATATATATATATTTTCGGCCACTTTCGTTTATTTGATGCACCACGCACGATATGTATGTTCGATTCCAATGAAATTTGGATTGAGTTACGGGATTTGATCAGAAAATAAAGTTGTCAAATTATATTAAAATCGGTTCAGATTTGGATCTTGCTCCTATATTTATTTTAGGCCGATTTTATGTATTTGATGCATTAAACACGCTGTGTACGCCACATTTCAATGAAATTTGGAATGTGTGATGGAATTTGTCTGAAAAAATTGTTTGTTTGTTTGCAAATTATATTGAAATCGATTCTGATTTGGATATTGCTTCCATATATATTTTCGGCTGATTTTACATATTTGATGCACCCAACGTGATGGGTTAGTCCGATTCCAAAGAAATGTTGACGGAGGGACGAAAGTTGGTACCAAAAAAATTTTTGCCAAATTATAATGAAATCGGTTGAGGTTTCGGTATAGTTCCCATATATATACTTCGACCGATTTCATGTATGTTTCGCACCAAATATGATATATATAACCGATTCTAATGAAATTCTGAATATGTGGCCGAAAATCCGAAGGACAAATCCTTTGTATATATATAGTTTTATACTAATACCATTGTAAAGTTGTTGTGCTTCTTAATAAAATCGTATCCCAATCTGAACCGATTTCAATATAATTTGACAAAATTTACTTTTACATCAAATTCATGTATATATATATATATATATATATATATATATATATATATATATATATATATATATATATATATATATATATATATATATATATATATATATATGTATATATGTATATATATATATATATATATATATATATATATATATATATATATATATATATATATATATATATATATATATATATACATGAATTTGATGTAAGAAGCACAACAACTTTACAATGGTATTAGTATAAAACTATATATATACAAAGGATTTGTCCTTCGGATTTTCGGCCACATATTCAGAATTTCATTAGAATCGGTTATATATATCATATTTGGTGCGAAACATACATGAAATCGGTCGAAGTATATATATGGGAACTATACCGAAACCTCAACCGATTTCATTATAATTTGGCAAAAATTTTTTTGGTACCAACTTTCGTCCCTCCGTCAACATTTCTTTGGAATCGGACTAACCCATCACGTTGGGTGCATCAAATATGTAAAATCAGCCGAAAATATATATGGAAGCAATATCCAAATCAGAATCGATTTCAATATAATTTGCAAACAAACAAACAATTTTTTCAGACAAATTCCATCACACATTCCAAATTTCATTGAAATGTGGCGTACACAGCGTGTTTAATGCATCAAATACATAAAATCGGCCTAAAATAAATATAGGAGCAAGATCCAAATCTGAACCGATTTTAATATAATTTGACAACTTTATTTTCTGATCAAATCCCGTAACTCAATCCAAATTTCATTGGAATCGAACATACATATCGTGCGTGGTGCATCAAATAAACGAAAGTGGCCGAAAATATATATATATATATATGGGAGCTATATCCAAATCTGAACCGATTTCAATATAATTTGGCAAATGTATGTTTGTTTTAAATTCCATTACAAATTCAAAATGTCATTGAAATTAGAGATACATAGCGTGTTTGGTGCATCAAATATATGAAATCGACCGAATATGTATACGGGAACTATATCCAAATCTGAACCGATTTTAATATAATTTAAGAACTTTATTTTCTGATCAAATCCCGTCACTCATTCCAAATTTCATTGGAATCGAACATACATATCGTGCGTGGTGCATCAAATACATATGGGAACTCCAAATCTTAACCGGTTTTAATATAATTTGGCAAACAAATTTTTTGTACAAATTCCATCCCACATTCCAAATTTCATTGAAATGTGGCGTACACAGCGTGTTTACTTATGGTAGCTATATCTAAATCTGAACCGGTTTCAAAATAATTAGGCAAAATTATTTTTGTTCCAAATTCCGTAACGCATTCCAAATTTGAAGGGTGTACCTGTAATGGATCAATAGATATGTGCATATAAAATCTACATTTTTGGGAGGTACCTCTGATTCTGATGCCATATCTCCAGTTCGAAGTGGAATTTTAAAAAATGTTATAGCCTATGTTACTTTCAGGCGATGTTCTAGTATACTTGGAAATTTTCAAGAAAATTTTTTCAGCGGTTTTCGATTCCATAAATTACAAACAAACATACAAAATTTTCCTCTTTTTTAGATACAGA